TTAAGAGGCATGGTTCCTAATTTAAGCTTAAATCTGATTGAATCAAGAGTCCTTTTTCGTGTCGATGTTTTCAAGAGTCTGGACTCTAGATCCAATGTGTTTTTTTCCCAGTGCACCTTGATAATCGATGCTTAGCCACAGAAATAGGGAAATATCGATAGTCGATCATTCACGCTTCGCCGCTGACGGACACCATGTAGCAACAACGGAAACAATGTGAAACGAGAGCTGTCGAGGAGGAAGCGACAGTAGAGTTTATTATTTCGCGAAAAAATGATAACCGTGTCAAAACCCTGGGCGAGAGCCTCGAAAATCATCGTCACCGCGGGGGCACGGAGAGAAAATGACGGGGGTCATAGTGACGGTGGGGTGAAGGTGGGGGTTGGATGAAGGCGCCCTTCTTCCTCGATCGTCTTGAGCTGCGTCGGCGGCGCGGCGCGGTGGGGCGTGCAATCCCGAGGTGAAGTTATTGTTCGAAAGCCCTTTTGTTAACCCAGCTTATTGAACGTAACGGCTTTTGAGACCCGTCAGCCAATGACGAGGCGCAAGGTGGTCAACATTCGCCTGGCTCGCGGGAACTTTCGTGGAGAGTACCTAGATGTAGAAGAATGTGAAGTAAAGATGACGTGTAGATAATTTTAGAGGTTAGGTTTATTCAAGTCGGGGAGCTCTAATGATACGGCCTAACGGGCGTTGTCCGAACCAGAATCCACGGTGTACCAAAGAAGTGTACTTTTCGGTGCACTGGAAAAAAAAAACACATTGGATCTAGAGTCCAAACTCTTAAACATCGAGGAGAAAAAGTACTCTTGGTTCAATCACAATCTATCTTAAATGAAGAACCAAGCCTCTTACTTTAAGCGGATTTCATTGTGATTCACGCAAAAATCCGAGTGAATCAAGAGTATTTTTTCTTGTCAATGTTTTCAAGAGTCTGGACTCTAGATCCATTGCGGTTTTTTTTTTTTTTCCAGTGTGTGTGTGCATACGATGAAAAATGCTTACCGAATGTGGTACACGCGGACGGTCCCTTCAATTTTATTGGTTTACAAGGATCATTTAACCTATTTGTTAATCCTCTTTCTCTGCTTCTAACGTAGGTGGACCGTGCATACTATTAATAGGTACTTTTTATTTTATTCATAATTGATTTTTTAGAATGCGTCATTTACAAATATTTTGCCTGAAAGACTGAACATTATCAGGCGCATAAAAAAGGGCAAATTTGCGAATAACTATAACTAACTTCTAACCTAACGTATTATTGACCTTTATTTTAACCTAACCTAGCCTTATACTCACAAGTGTAATCCTAAAATAGCTAATGAAATCATAAAGCACTTGATGTAATCGTAAAGTCGCGTATGTGATGTTAAAGCCACCGATGTACTTGAAAGTCGTCATTGAAAGCGCATAAGTCGCTAAAAGTTGAGCATATCAACGAAAGAAAGGTTTGAAAACTTGAGGCAAAAAAAGTAAACCTAAAAATAAAATAAAAAAGCCTCCGTCAAGATTCCAAGGCTCAGCATAGTAGTCAGATGTAGGTGTTCCGACCACTCGGGCATTGAGTAGCTGAACTAACAGTTCTCATATCAATAGCACACTCGACACAGTGTTTCCAACGGGGAAAATTTGTAGACTTCAACAGCACACCTCACAGCGTGCACCAGGCGTATACATACCTTTTGGTAAGACAGCTCCCGAAAGCAATACCCCAAAAGGGACCCATCCTGCCCTAGATACTGACCCCTAAGATTGAGGAAAATATCACCCTGCGATAAAATGGTAAGTCACTAAATTAACTTCAGGGCTCAAGAGAAAGGTGTTTTCGCGGGTAATTGACCCGAATCTGACGGTCTTAATGTCTAAACCCCGGGGGCCTTGCTGACGAGTTGCCGGACCAGCTTTAGACTTGTTAAAATGATGTTAGGGCTATCTTCCATCCCATCAGCGACGCTTGTGAGAAACATGGGTCATCGTGCTTGGTTTTTTACCTTGTTTAGAAGTTCATTGGGTTTCTTCCGATGACAGTAATGGGCGAGGACAGCATTGCGAATTTTCACTCCGTACGTGAGTGACTCACCTGTTAGAACTGGGAAAATCGAGAATAGTGGAATGTCAAATCAACCTTTAGTGCATCACTCATCAGTTGCCCCATCGGTTAGATTATAAATTCCTGTTACATAAAATCGTTTTCCGATGACATTTCAGGGTGTCTACTAAAACAGGATGGCCAAAAATCAATGCTTTTAGAGTACTTTTTCAGTGTATTCCCAAGAAATTCAGTATCTCCTAAACAGAATTCAGTACTTTTTCAGTACATTCAATGAGCGAAATTCGCACAATTTTGAAAATTCGATATTCTCGGCTGTACCCACGGCTGTACTACTTTGGAATCCCGTGTGACATTATTACCGCGGTAACCGTAGAATAATCGTGGCTTTTTTTTTTCCTCCGTGGAGCAAGAGTTACAGACACGTCGGTAATTTCGAGGTTAGGCGATGGAGCTTTCAGGGTCCAAAAGGGCAGCCAATCTGTGAATTCAAATCGTTCAGAGTGATTTATTGTTACAATTATTACGATCCGAGTAGTATCGTAGTACGATCGTAGTATCTTGATTTATTGTGCGAGGAAAGCTCCGTACTTTTAAAGGATGCCTGTCATTCTTAATATGTTGGAGAGCCTCAATTTCTTATGATACTGTGCAATACCTCTGGTGACAAATAGTTGCGGCGCAGCGGGCGGGCAGAGAGCGCGGAACACGCATTGGCGCCTACAAACCCAACAGGGTTACTTCACGCATTGCGCAATGCGTGAAGTATTCCTGTTAGGTTTGTAGGCGTCAATGCGCGTTTGCGCAATGCGTAAAGTATCCCTGTTGGGTTTGTGGGCGCCAGTGCGTCGCCACTCCGCTTGTGTTAGGCTCTAATATTTAATCTCGCGGAGTCAGGGTTTTTCGACTCATGATTTTGAAATGTTTGCACACTCTATATGGGCTATTCTCATTTTAATTGATGAAAAAAAAATACGTTTTAAAGGAAAAGATAATGTGTGTTTTGTAAATATTAAGGTAGTTCCGTATCAAACTTAATGATTTCCAAAGCACACGAATTTCTACACAATTTCTTATAGCCTTTTATAGCCAATGGCGATAATGTAAAGCCCGGTAATGGGAACTATAGCCCGACTATATACTTTTTTATAGCTTCGTAGCCCGGCTATATGATTTGCTCCGCTTTCTACAGCCAGCTACATGATTTTCAATAGCCTTCTTTAGTCGGCTATAAGAACTCCTATGGTATTTTGAAACGCAGCTCCTATCGCCAATTTTTACCAGGGAGGCGAATACTACCGTAAGAATCATCGCGCAACGGATTGGCATTCTTTCCAGGTGTTATTAAAAAACATGCGTAGTATGAGGGAAAAAATTCCGGACCTTTCTGCGGAATCTCCGCACTTTTTGAGTACTTCCGGACCGCCCTTAAAAAAATCAGTACTATTTCCGGACGAGTAAACACCCTGCATTTGTCCAATCTTTTTCGTTCCTCGGATATAGTTCACGTGCGTTACGAAAGGCAACTACTGAGCGGCACTGTCGCGTCGTGGCGTTTCGCCTTGAAAGGGTCCCGCGCCGCGCCGTGCCGTGTCAGTAAACAGCAAGTAATGAAAGAGCGTCTAAAATTTAATATCAACGAGGTAACAGCGCTATGACTTCATTATGCTCATCTATTGTCGACCGTTGAGACGTCGTTGAAATTTCGACCCCGAGCCTGATGCGTCGCACTACGTGCCCAACAAAGCGATCGAGTGGAGTCGAGGAAAAACTTCAGGATTATCTAAACTAAATCCAAAAAAATGCAGGAACTTGCTCGATTCGTTTATTTTTTGTCCTCTACTCAGAAAAAAAGTATAAGGAAAATTGTACCGATATAGTAAATTCTACAACTGCTTAACAGAAACTTGCCAGGTAACTGATTTTTCTATCGTGGGGCAATTTTTACATTTCTCACCGTTGTCAAAATACGATGAAAAACAAAGAGAGATTCGAGTTAAATTAACCCATTGACTTAAACAGACGGCTCCGAGCCGTCCGGCAACCTTGGAAACGATTCCCCACTGTTATCATGGATTTTCGGCAGATAGTGCCACCTTACGGGTTACTGGTGCATTGTGGTAGTCTAATGACCAACTTGCACAAAAATTTCCCAGGTTTTAGTGATATTTTTGGTTGAAATATATGGATAACCTCCTTGTTGTTGACCCGGCGAAACGTGATGTAAACAAGCAGTCGTGAAAAGCGGAGTAAGCCAACTTTTCCCAAGTTTATTGAATTTTTCTGTCGTTCGGTGCTATTTGCGTTCCTTGTGCATGTTTTAATTATGTTCCTGAGTATATTTATTTAACAATTTGACCCATTTCATGATGAGTAAGTACAGCAGAATTCTAACAAGTGCTGATGTTGCTCGCATCTTGATTGATAGTGAATATGATTTTGAGGATCCTGATGAACCAGAAGATATTTTTAGTTGTGGTGATGGGCCTTGGAACCCCAGTACTAAAGTTGATGAAGTGTGTGATAGTTTCTCCGAGTCAGAGAACGGTGAGTTAGATGAGCCGGAGGAGAACGATGCGCACGACTCTGGTGACAGTGATATTGACATGCCTGGACCTACTGTAAATAATCCTGCTCCTGCGCCTGTGTTACCTGTAACCTCTCTTACTGCACTTAATTCTGTTGCTGTGTTACCCTGCCAACCTGGCCCTTTTCGTATTACAGGTGGCCCTCGTAAGAGGAATGTTACCCCGAAAAAAAATGACAAGAAACGTCCAAAAAAACAAGGATGCATGGGAATGGGACGAAACGCCTGACAAGTAATCCATAAAAAAACTGCCTTTCACAGGGAGTATTGGAGAGAAAGCCACTTACTTGAGAGCTCTAGGTGACTCATCTGACCCCCTTAGTATTTTATACCTATTTCTTGAACCGATTTTTTTTCGAAATGATTGCCAAAGAAACAAATAGTTATGCTGGAGATTTCATGGCAGACCCAAATAAAGTGAAGAGGAAGATTCACGAGAAGTGGTTCCCAAAATTAACGGTGACCCCTTACTTTGGACAATTTATGCCCTACAGGAGATTCATTCTTTTGTCAACATTTTTTCATATTGTCAGCAAAGAACAACAAGAGCACGATGAGAGGGATAAATTCAAAAAAATTCGCTGGGTGTATGAGCTCTTCAATCATAAATTTGCTTCCATTTATTATCCTGAACAAAAAATTGATCTAGACGAGTCGTTGATGGCTTTTCGAGGATGGCTCAGTTACATCCAATATAATAAAGCTAAGAGAGCTAGATTTGGAATGAAGTTCTACAAGCTTTGTGAATCTAAATCTGGTTACTGCTCAAAATTTAAAATCTATATTGGAGCAGAGGCAAATGCAGATAAGGAGTTCAAAGTATCGGAGGCCATTGTATTCGAGATGATTGAGCGGCAAGTGGGCTTAGGTCATACCCTGACTTTGGATAATTGGTATTCATCCCCTAACCTTTACCACTCTTTTGCTGATAAGTCATTCAATGTATTAGGGACAGTCAATATAAAAAGGATCAATATGCCTTGTGAATTTTTTAAAAAGAGGAGACGCAGAGATCAAATTCAGCCATGATATAGCCGCCATCAGATGGCAGGATAAGAAACAGGTTTTTGTCTTGTCAACTTTCCATGATGGGATAAATGAGACTGAATCTGGGAGAACTAACAGAAAGACTGGGGAAAAAATTGTTAAAATGAATGTCAAAATAATTTCAGTTGACTAGAGGAATACTTCATTTTGAGAGACAGCGCCAAGAAGTATTTATCGGTGCACCATTTTACAATAGAAGGGTGACTAACTCTGATTTGTTACTACTGTCCAATCATTATTAACATTACTTTAAGAACAACAACGACAAAAAAAAAATAAAAATAAAAATAAAACTGATGAAAGTGACAAAGAAAAAAAAGCTCTTAATATTTAACGATGAAAGGCGTAAAGGTACACGATAAATTTTTCCTCTGACCGTTGATGAATTTTCCAACGATCGTGAATGCAAAGCTCAAAATATTATGGAGTTAATGAAATGGACGACCACAGATAAAGGATGCAAATTTAAGACTCAAGTTGCTCTTTTCATCAAAATTTCACGTAGAACACGATTGTACAGCAAGAATTACTAAAGGTAACTCTTAACCAAGGTTTCGAAGTTTTTCGATGCATACATTTAAACTTCCCGCTAACAGAAAAAACAATAATCAACTAAATTAAATCGCACATCAAACGTCACCGTGACATTTTATGTGGCATAATATTATGATTGCCTCAGGTTCGAGGCTTCGGCTTAACTACTGCACGTTAATAGAACTATGGACAACACATGCAGGGTGGGAATGAAACATTGCTCGAATTAAAAGGCCTACCAAAACAGTTGTAGTGCGCGATTTGATGAATCCGTTCGATAATCAATAGGAAATTCCAAGTTTTCGTGACCATTGCGAAGTAAAACCTTTTTTCTTGATTTGAAGATAAGTATTTCCATTATTTTAATCGTACACTGGAAAAAAAACACATTGGATCTGGATTCCAGACTTTTGAAAACATTGACAAGAGAAAACACTCTTCATTCAATCGAATTTTTGCTTGAATCAAAACGAAAGCCGCTTACATTCAGAGGCTTGGTTCTTGACTTAAGCTGGATTCTGATTGAATCAAGAGTACTTTTTCTTGTCGATGTTTTTAAGAATCTGACCTCTAGATCCAATGTGTTTTTTTTCCAGCGTATTCTACATTCCAAGTGACGGTAGGAAATACACATCAGAAATGCTCTGATTCCTGCCTCGTCTAAGTCTAATCGTTCATCGCAATTATTTATTCGCAATTCTTTGACCTGAAATCACAGCTACGCGGAGACAGCTGGGTAGACGGTGTCAATATTTTACCACGGAGGTAGAAACTTTCTAATCCGTAACCCTGGGGATGGAAGTTCACCAATTATATCAATAGCTGGAGCACGAGGATCAGGGGTTCGGCGCCAGTTCAGTCTGGGTTGAGCACTTAAGACAGTGTTAATATCAGGTCATTTCACTCGCCATCTTCCTACGCTGTTCGCAAAGTTCTTCAACTCGCAATGATCGCAACCCGGAGATTGGTGTCGATTCGGGGACATTAATTGGCTCACAAAAGACTCACTGGGGCAGATGTATCACTGATGAACGAGATGTTTCTATGAACCGAGCAAAGTTACAAGTCAACAAGTTTGCAAGAGTCCCTCCTGTGCTGCCGTCCCGTAGAGAAATCCCTGGATCGACTTTCGGAAGTTGGAAAATTTACGGTGTAACCGTGCACTGGTAAAAAAAAACCTCTTGGTTCAAGAGTGCAGTTTCTTGTCGCCGGATTTAAGAGTCTGGACTCTTGCTTTAATGCAAAATCCCCTTGAAACAAGAGTTCAAGACTCTTAAATCCGGCGACAAGAAACTGCACTCTTAAGTCAATGCACCGCGGCATTGGTCCAAGAGTATTTTTTTTACCAGTGTGTGTTCACTTCATTTTGAAGCGGATGATACGAAACACTCGACTAAAAAAATCATTCTGCCAAGAATTCTCAAATCGATAAAAATTGAACTAAACTTAACGTTGGACTTATCTCATCTCTATATCTCAGCTACATTTTTACTCGATGACAACAGCTATAAATTGACAAAGTTTCTCATATGAAAAGTTGGAAGTATAAGGCGCACAAGTGCAATTTTTGCAGCTATTTCGAGAAATACGTGTTTCAAGTTTCGAAATTACTTGCGGATCCTTACGGCAGAAAGAAAAGATTAACTGATTTTTCGATGCTTAAAAATTGGATATTGAAAGCAAATTCACAGAATATGCATAAGACTAATTTTACTTGAAATCACTACATCTCAATTGTTTCAAAAACTGCACTTATGCGCCTTGTCCTCCAAGCCCGTCGTGTAATTTAGTTTTATAACTTTTCAAAATTCATCGGAATGAATTTTAACTTCACTTACTCTTCCACTAGGTCAACTAATTTCATCTCATTCGTTATTCAACGACCAGTCTGTCTCCTTGTTACTATATATCGACTGTAAAACTTCCGTAAATCGGTTTCCTCCGGGGCAGACTTCTTATCATACTTCCTTTTTAAATTAAAAACTTAATGATTCAGCGTCACTCCTTAAAATTTCACTGATTTTTCTCCTCTGCGCGAGGAAGATTCTGTGAAAACTTCAAGGAATGACGTTGATTTTTCTCCGTAAAAAAATTAGATTTGGAGCAGAGATTTTCAAACACCGAAAATAAAACGAGATACGCGGTTTGGGAGTTTCACCGTCGATAGCAGTGGAGAGGCATGAATGATCGATTATCGGTATTTCTCCATTTGAAATTATGGTGAAGAATCGATTATTTAAGCGTTTTTTGCGAATACCCTGTTCATCGATCCTTTTCCATAGGTTTAAATAGAAGATATATCGATAAATCGCAAAACGCGACACGCCACTGCGTCGATATGCTTGATGCAAAGAAACGAGACTGCGGAGAAGAAAATGCGTCGAAACAAAGGAAGAAATCCATCCAGACATTTCATTTCCGATAATTTAATGCTCAGCGTGATGCTGAGCCACATGGATGTTGCATACCATGAGAATATGACTGGATCGAAGGGTGCTGAGGAGAGGGAGGGAAGCACAACAAAAGGTAATGTCAATTGCAGCGAAGTCGAGATGCTTCAACATTATTCACAGTTGTTCAGCTCGAGAGCCAATTCCGTCGAGTTAACCCTGCAACCCCTAATTGATGAACAGCTGAAACTGAGTCACACGCGGCCTTGTCGGCTCGCCTCAAAAACCACCGTATTTTTTTTAAAATCGTTTCAAAAACCCTGATGGCCTTGTTCGATCACTGAAAAAAAGTTCGGTCGTAGAAATGTACCAAAGTTCGATGTTCCATATCATCCCAAATAATTAGGTTAGTCAAACTGAACTTCCGGTTCGAGTAACCGAACTTGTGCGGTAAAATGGACTGAAAGTGGCCGAATGTTCGGTTACACGAACCGGAAGTTCAGTTTGACAATCCGAATATTTGGGATGATGTGGAACACCCCCTATGCCTCCCTAGGCCATATGCCCCCTGAAAAGTGTGCCAGATTTTAAAAAGTTTGACAAGATATTCAAAAGCAGTCCCTTACAAAAAGCTGTACACCACATCGCTGACACGCCCGACAATATTAATACCGTCTTAAGTTTGCTAGGCAAAAAATTTGACAGTGGATGAGTCATCGATTTCTTAGCAACTTCAGCCATTCACACCTCAGCAATTTGAATACGGAGTTGGTTACAAAATTAGTAATTTGGCGCAAGAATACCGAAAACGTATAATTGAGAAGAAAGGAAGAAAAGTTAAATAAGGAGGATAATAATTGAGTGTTTCCTCGGAATACCGCATCGTGCGACGGACACACACATACACACCCTCACCCTCACACAGACACAAAAAAAGTATGATACGATCCGCAATTTGCCCAATGCCCATGCAGTTGCAAATCGCATCACTAGCGGAGCGGTGTCGGCACGTCGTACTTTCGCCCTGGGCGACAGGACGAGAGAATGGAGGAGAGAAAAAGTTTTAAAATGAGTTATGTTCAAGGGAGAGGAGACGGAGGATTCGGGAAAATAAGGATGGAGAACAAAGCAGAGCGCTCATTGTAGATTACTTTTGGGAGTCGGCCTGTCGGCATCGGATCTCGAGACGGAAGCTTGGAGTTTGTCACTGAGATGGGAGTTGTGCTACACGAGGCAGGCGTTTCAAACCACCGTTGCGACGTCAGCTGAAATAATGTGCTTATTTCGGTCGACAGGGGGTCTACTGATCCAGACAGGCCAAGAATCAGTGACTTTTACAGTACATTCCCGAGAAATGCAGTACCTCCTCAACAGAAAAATTCAGGACTTTTTCAGTACCTCCGTTTGACGAAGTTCGCAACATTTAGAAAATTTGAAAATCTCGCTTAAATTGCGACGAAAATGACGTAGACACAAAATTTCATTGGTAGCATGAAGATTAACTGATTGCACAGACTGGAACAAACAGTAGCTTGGATCTAGAGTCCAGATTCTAAATAACAATGACAAGATAAAATACTCTTGATTCAATCGGACTTTTCCTTGAATCGAAGAGCCAAGCCTCTTGATTTAAGCGGATTTCCTTTTGATTCAAGCAAAACTCCGATTGAATCAAGAGTATTTTTTCGTGTCGATTTTTTTAAGAGTCTGGAGTCTAGATCCAAGCTACTTTTTCCCCCCTGTGCAATCGCGATACTTCAGGCAAATACTTCTCTAGGAATGAACGTGCAGGAGATGGCGTGTTTTCCAGGCTTTATTAAAAAATCACGCGTGGTAAGGGGGGAAAATTCCGGGCCTTCTTGCGGAATTTTGTTGCACTTTTTCAGTACTTCCCGACCTCCCTTGGAAAATCAGTACTATTCCTAAACTTTCCGGAAATTCCGGACTAGTGGACATTTTATTTTTCATTTTCAAACCTTCTGAATCAATTTCAGAGTTATCCTGTGTCATATTTCACCTCGATATATTGTATCATACTATATTGCTCATTCGGAGGCT